GGCGCAGGGTAGCAGGAAACTCTCTGCACACTCACCGGACCTGGGCTAGGACTGGGTCTTAAATATAATTTATACAGCTGCACAATTTCCATTCTCCAAGAAGATCATGATTTATTTAAACATTCTGGTGGTTGTTTCTAGTTTTTTCTATTGAAAATCAGACTCAATGTAATTCTTCATCCTAGTTTCTGATAATTTCCTACATTAGTTCCCTAGAGACAGGATTACTGGGACAAAGAGTGTAAGTGTTTAAAAAGCTGTCCATACATGTTGTCAGGTTGCTGTTTGGAAAGATTACGCCAATGTGTACATCCAACAGAAAGAATGATGTTATTTTAATGCTATAATTAAATACTGTTCTTTCCCCCCACCAGTCCTGGGATGCTGACAGGATATTCAAGGAGGCTGAGAAGTTCTTTGTGTCTGTTGGTCTTCCTCATATGACTCAAGGATTCTGGCAAAACTCCATGCTAACTGAGCCAGGAGATGGCAGGAAAGTGGTCTGCCATCCCACAGCTTGGGACCTGGGGAAGAATGACTTCAGGTAATTGAGCTGATACTTACAGTGCAGATACTATGAGCGACAGGGGAAACCAGGCAGTCCTTTTCTGCTTCTCTGAGAACAAAAAGGATGAATTAACTCTACTTGAACTGAGGCTGGGGGTCCATGAAAGCACATCTGAGTTTTTTCCGGGGATAGATCACCAGAAAGCCATAACTCGAAACTTCAGACAACTTACCTCACTGTGAAATATTGTCATACCCATTAAAGTTGTATGATCATGAGATGTTGGTGTCCTCATTATGTAAGTTTTGGTGCTGAGAATTATGGAACATGGAGTGACCCAGACACTAGTCCCCTCTCTGTTTCTTTCTTGTGAGTGAAATGGCATAGGTAATTTCAAAACTGGGGTAATGGCAGAAAGTGGTACATACCATAAGGAAGACAGAGAATCGTTTATGGCATACTGGGAGAAAACTGACCACACCTGGAATAGCAGATAGCATCAGACAGGGATTTGTGCATGGCACTGTAATTTGGCTTAACATATGAGAAGGTTCTGGACAGGCAACTGGGAGGACACCAAGCTGGAAGGATAGCAAGATCAGATGTAGAGAAGCAAGATGTGGAGGATACACTGGAGTCAGCAAGTTAAATTAGAAAAACAAATATGTGAAGCAAAGTCCGTGTGATGTGGCAGAATAAGAAAAAAACTTTGGAATCTTAGATGTGTCATTTAACGACTAGGCAACCTTGGACAAAATATTTAACTTTTTAGGGTTTCAGTTTCTTTCTCTATGAAGCACTGCCATAAGTCCCAGGAAGCAGTTGTCTGTAAGTGTCTCAGGCTGGGTTTCATAGATTGGAATGGAGATTTTTGGATAAGGGCTTTGTGCATGGCATGGAGAGCTCTCCCAAAAAGTGGAGTGAGGGAAACAAGCTGGGACAGGGAAAGGAAGTAGATAAGGATATGGTGTTTGCTGGAGACATGGCCTCAGCCTGACCCCATGAACCTCTGGAACCGGTTTGAACCAGAGTTGGTTACACCTGAAGATAATGGGGCTGGCCTTTTATGATTTCTATTAGTCATTGGTTATGGACTTCCCAAAGTATGGAGAGACAACCTTCTGGCTGAGGTACTTCCCATTTGGCCAAAGTATTGGGGAAAAAAAGCATCTGTTAGCTCTATTAGCTATGACTTGGGTAGCGGTAGTTGGGGGTGCTGGACCTGCCTGATAAAGGAGATCTGGGTAGGGCTCACAGCACCCATGCAGTAGGGACTGGTAGTCTGTTTGTGCACAGAACCAGAGGTGGAAAAGAGTGTAGTCTTTGAAAGTCTATTGCATGTACTCAAACTCACAGAAGCATCCATAGACAATGCATAAATAAATGGGTGAGGCTGTGTTCCAATTAAACTTCATTTATAAAAACAGGCAGCAGTCCATAGCTTACTAACCCCAGTACTACCAGTACTGCAAACAGGCTTAAGAATGGGATATATGGGATATATATATTGTTTTTTCAATGCACAGACTCTTATATACAGCAAGTAGTAAATGTGTAATGGTTTTTTAGTGGCTTCAAAAAGTAACAAAGAAATCAAGTTAGAAAAGCAAGTTCATGTCACATTAGGGTGTATATAGGAAGCTGAGTCTATTTTTAAAAAGTAAAGTGTCCTTAAAGTATATTTATAGGGAGTTACATAATTAGAGTACTAGGAAAGTTAACTGGACAATCCACTGATGCATGACCTGTGTACTCACCCCCCTGAAAATGTTTATGCCAAGTTGCAGAACCACCTAGTTGGCAAATGCAGTACTTATTTCACTGGGACACAGAAGCAGTAGACAATATTTACCAATTTTCATTCAAATGTCCTTTTCGTTGGTTTCTGCACTGTCACCCTCTTACAGACTCCTTTGACCTCTCTGATTGCACTTTCTCCATTTTCCATTGCCCAACACTCAGGTACTAGGACCTCCTAAAGCTTTGTTTTTGGCCCTCTTTCTTGCCATTCTATTTGTGTTTTATGGACTATCAGAGCCACTCCTTAACTCACCTGCTAATGACCCCCAATTCTCAATTTCAAGCCCCTTGTACTATTTCCCTATTCTGGCTCTTTTGAATTATTTGTAGTGTCCACAAAAATCTTATTTTTTCTCAAGCCTTTATCATTGAGGGCTTCCAGGAATGACAGGAATCCTGCCGCCTACCTGGCAAACTCCTGCACATCAGTCAAGGTCCAGATTGCACATTGCATCCTCAGTTATGCCCTGTTAATGCTTCTATTCACTCATTGTTATGCCCCTGGCCATGGTCATTTATAGAGTATCTGCTTCCAAGTTTCTATAGCAGAGAATCCTGCTTACTTCTTTTGCTATTAGTATGAGCAAGAGAGTAGAATTCAGCCTTGTCCATCACTTTCTATTGAGTAATAGTACATAAGGACAGAAGAGGGAGATATTCAAGATTCTATGGTGAGTTCAAGTTACGGAAAGGTAATTCATGCTACCAAAACTCCATACCACTGTATTATCATGATTAGAAGTGACTCAATGAGATTCATTTTAGTCTTGCCTTTTTTGTGCAGAATCAAGATGTGCACAAAGGTGACAATGGACCACTTCTTGACAGCCCACCATGAGATGGGACACATCCAGTATGACATGGCATATGCCATTCAACCTTTCCTGCTAAGAAATGGAGCTAATGAAGGATTTCATGAAGCTGTGGGGGAAATCATGTCACTTTCTGCAGCTACACCTGAGCATCTGAAGTCCATTGGTCTCCTGCCACCAGATTTTCGTGAAGACAATGGTACACTTTTTTTTCATGGCTTTGGGTATTTATTTGTATGGTGTCGAAGAAAGTACATATTCACAGATGTATGAAATATTTAATTTTCGCCACATCAGATAGAAGATATTTATGAGTAACTAGGAATTGCTACTGGCAAAAACCACTTTGGAAGTATATATCAGAACATGCCAATTTGTGGTTTTGTACTTTTGAGCAAGCAATAAGAGAGGGAACTAAATGAATAGTTTTGAGACTCTAATAAATACCAAATGGAAGCTTGGTTGATTCTTTTGAAGATGATAAAACAGTCCCAGAGAGCTGAAATGTCTTGTCCACAATCATCCAACTAATTTGTGTTAGATTGCTGAGTAGGTGTTTTTGGTTTTCAGGAAAAACTTCGCCAAATATTAGAGCTAGCACAGATTCTAAACAGTGTTTTATGAAGGAGGAAATTAGAAAAGAGATAGAAAGCAGCTTAACATCAGAAGACACCATAAGGGAGGATAGGATGAGGGAGGGGAGTAAAACTGATCAAGATGGGATATGTGATGGGTTTTCTCTGCCTTAGTAAAAATTCTGATAAGCTGTTATGGAGGCAGGCCAACACAGCATCGAGCACAGGAGGTCATGTGCTATGATCCACCTTCCTCCTCCCTGGTCAGATCACAACTTCCTACTTCCCTTTCACAATATCCTATTTCTTTGTTCCTGCCATCCTGCCCAGTCACTATCTGCCACCTCATACAGACTGCCGCCCCTAAGCCCCATCTCCATCCTGGCCCTATATTGCCTTTGTTTCCCAGGCCAGGCCCTCAGCAGCTCCACATCTCCTGTTCTGTGGTCTTCACTGCTCTCACAATAAAGACCTTTTTACTTTTTATTTTTCTTTCTTATCATTATGCACCATTTAAACTTAACAATATGTATATGTACCAACTCCCTAGGAGGAATATAATTATTGTTATAGACAGCAAATGCATACTAATTAAAAAGCAACAGCAGACCCAGAACTAAAGCACTAATTTAAAGCCTTTCCCATTGAAAAGCAAAGTACAGCTTAAAATTTGGGAGTTCTTAAAAAATAGCGGAAGTCATATCAAAATTGCAAGGGACTGAGATATTTTGATCAATTCATGGAAGCACATATTTCCTCTGTAGCATCACTTCAGATTCCTGATATCCTTCAACTTCGTTCCCTAAGGGAGTCTGCTTTGTCTTGGATGGCTTGGTTGACGGAACAAAACAAATGTTTCAGAGATTTAGATTCTTCAGTGAAGATGTAATTTTGATTTTCAGTGAAATCACAAATTAGATTTTTTTTCTTGCAAAAGAAGGACAATTAAAGCCTAATATTCTCTCCTCTTTCACATATTGATCTCCCTTATTCTAGCTATTTGCAATTTAATGATCGGTTACACTGGCTGAAGTATTTGCTCAATGAGTTCAAGGTTACGAACATCATCATTGTGTGGGCTATTCATTTTGCCTCCATCTCTGGCTCCAGACTCTTGGTGATCTCATGGTGACCTGAGAGTAGGCCAGTGTAAAGCCACCAGCAAGTCTGAAGTAGTTACTGTAAGCACAGACCTGGTGGACTATAGATTAGTAGTAGAGTCTTTCCAGGAAGAGAGCAACAAAGGAAAGAGAGTTAGTGGCAAACACATCTACTTCTTAATTTTAATATATCATTCATTCAAATGAATGAACACTAATTTCTTTTATCAATAGTAATATTTCTTGATAGTTGACAAATATGATGGACTCACGGTATTTCTTAAGATAATCTTAGACACAATTAAACCACAGGTGTGAAAATCTCTTGTTCCTTTCTTTGCCCCTGATTGATGAATCATGTTAAACAAATTCCTTCTTTTCTTCCTTCCTCCCTCCCTCCCTCCCTCCCTCCCTCCCTCCCTTCTTTCCTCCCACCTTTTTCTTTTCTCTCTACACATATTGAGCCCATACTATGGTACATGACATTTTGACAGACACTATGGATTCAGTGATATACAGAAGGAATAACATTCTCCTGTTGACATTTCAGTGACAGCTTGTTTTGTATAGTAGAGGAGAACTTTACTGCCTTTGTTGTCATTAATAAAGGAAGACAGAATTACATGACTTGTGAAAGCATTTAAAATTCACAGTATGGAAGATAGTGCAATGAAAGTACATTTCACTTTTGGTTACCCACTGAATGGTATCCTCTAGGAAGGCTTATTTATATATTTATATTAAATTTATTTTTAGCTGGCACATAAAAATACAAAATTTCACATTAATAGGACCACATATGATGTCTCAATACATTATGCACTGTGTAATGTTAAAACCTTCCAAATTCTTCTCTTCTGGCTTCTTATTTTTTTCAGTGCTGATCATAGAACCCAGGACTCCATGCTTGCTGGGCCCGTGCTCTACCCATGACTCCACCCTGCTCTTCTAGCTTTGTGAAGTGTCAATACATACTGCTATCTATAGTCAACCTACTGTGCAATAGTACAATATTTTTTTTATTTCTCCCACCCCTGTTTTACTGGCTTGTCACCACATCTGTTTAATATTTGTGTATTTACCAAGGACTCACAGAAGGCATTATGTAGCAGACACTGGACTAGGTAGACAGTTTTGAATGGCACATTAACAATCACTGGCCTTGTGGAGCTTTCAAGAATAAACAGTATGCCTGGAAAGGAGATGACATAGTCCCAGTGAACTCTGATAAGGGATGTTTAACCAAGGCAATTGAAACCAACTAAAAATAGGGTTAGGGTTAACTTTCAGGACTATTCTGTTCCTGGACTTCACCCTATTCCAAATCCTTAAATGATAAAACGAATATGTATCTATCAACATGTCCATTGTCAATATTTCTCATATTATACTCCTTACAGTAAGTATATATTGATATTATGAAAATTCTTTTTATCATAAAATATCTACTGTCATTTTCATCTTCATATTTGTCCTTTCTCATTTCACTTTTAGAAACAGAAATAAACTTCTTACTCAAACAAGCACTCACGATTGTTGGAACTCTGCCCTTCACTTACATGTTAGAGAAGTGGAGGTGGATGGTCTTCAGGGGTGAAATTCCCAAAGAGCAGTGGATGAAAAAGTGGTGGGAGATGAAGTAAGTCAATGAAAATGCAATCAGTAGAACATTTTCTCGTGGAATTGCTGTTTACTTAAAAGCATTTGACTGGCCTGTACACACACACACACACACACACACACACACACACACACACGCACGCATAGGTGCATGTGCTTAACTGCCTCCTTTTAATACTTTCAGTTTCCACTTGGGTGCCATCTCTGCAAATAAAATTTCCTTTGCACTGCCCTTTATCTTGAGTCAGGTGAGACAATTTGATGCTCTAGCATAGAGACTGAGTCACTCATTAAACTATGATATTATTTAGGAGATGATCAATTTACTTATTTTTCTAAGTAAAAATGATGACCTCACATTTTGGGCAAAGAACTGGGGGTCAAACCATCATTTCAGGTGTAGTCCTGAAACTTTTAGTCAAATAAAAGGCATGATTTGGAAGATGAAAGCACTGCAATGTGTGATGCCAAGAAAGGCTACAGGCTCAATGATTGTCCAAGGGGCAATCCAAAGCCCCTACATTTTCCTCTAGAAAGTTTAGTGTTTTTTTATGGCACTGATTTAAATGCATAGATGTGGAGTCAAATGTTATACATGAGATTATCACTTCAAAATGGAAAAATAGGAAAAACAGAAAAAAGTGAAAAGCTCTGACTTATACGTGATGGAGAAAATATTTTCTCTCACTCGCTCACTCTCTTATGAACAGACTTCCAAGTTGAGTCCTGAGAAAGGTATGGAAATTAACCAGGTGGGTATGGAAGGGAAGAGGCTTCCAGGCTAGATGGAAGCTGGTGTAGTTAGGCAATTACTAGTGACCCATTTGAATAGTGGCAGCACTACATTGCATGTCACTGCATCCTAGTGGCCCTGCACAATGCCAGGAACATGCAGACGTGAAACAAATGGAGTTTGGAAGCATAATTATGAGGAGAGCAAGAGTGAGAGAAAGCGAGAGAGTGAGGGAGTGATAGAAAATATTTTCTCCATCACGTATAAGTCAGAGCTTTTCACTTTTTTTCTGTTTTTTCTATTTTTCCATTTTGAAGTGATGATCTCATGTATAACATTTGACTCCACACCTACACATTTAAACCAGTGCCATGAAAACACTAAATTTTCTGGAGGAAACTGTAAGTAGAAATTTTAAAGATCTAGGGGTAGATAGAGAGTTCATGAACAAGAACCAAACTGCACAGGAAATACTTTAAAGAATCAACAAGTGGGATCTCATCTTTTTGAAAAGTTTTTGTACTTCAAAGCAAATCTCCAACAGAGTAAAGAGAAGACCCACAAACTGGAAAAAAATGATAGCCAACTGTGTCTCAGAGAAAGACCTTCTATCTAGGAAATATAAAGAATTGAACATCCTGTCTGGTTAAGGTTAGCCATCAGCTGCTAGGTAACCCAGTGTCGTGTGTTACTAACTTCACAAAACTGTAAATAAAGGACAGTTTTTTTGTGAAAAAAAGGGAAGGAAAAATATATATGTATACAAGGAGAGTTAGGATAGATATACAGCTACTTTCGATTAGTTCACTGAGAATAAAAGTTTGCACTAATATTGTTTAGACAAGATATCGTACCTACATTTTGTCCTCTGAATAACTACTACAAAGACAACAATATGCAATGTATTAATTATTATAAACGTCTTACTAACCTGTTTTAAAACTGTTTCATTGCTATTTTATTTTTTTCTCATTAAAATAAATAATAATTTAAAAATAAAAAAGAATGAAAAAAATCAGGCCCCCCAAATTCAAAGACACAATCCAAAAATGGGCATCTGAGATGAATATACACTTCTCAGATGAATAAGTACAAATGGAGCGTAAGTATATGAAAAAAAGGTCAAGATCACTGGTCATCTGAGAAATGCAAATGAAAACAACACTGAGATTCCATATCACCCCAGAAAGAATGACTAACATCAAGAAGTCAGCCAATAACAAATGCTGCAGAGGCCGTGGGGAGAAAACAAAACCTTCTGCACTGTTGGTGAGCATGTAAACTGGTACAAACACTATCGAAATCAGTATGGATATTCCTTCAAATCTAGGATTGGAGATCCCACTCAAGCCAGCTATTCCCCTCCTGGGTATTTTTCCAGAATAAATGAAAACATCATATCACAACGATATGAGTGCTCCCATATTTATAGCAGCACAATTTGTCATAGCTAAATCCTGGAAACAATTCAGATGCCCATCAACTGAAGAATGGATAATAAAGATGGAGTATTTTTACACAATGGAGTATTATTCAGCTATGAAACAGGATAAATTTGACTTTTTTGTTAGTAAATGGATGCAACTAGAGAACATACTTTTAAGTGAAATCAGACCTACATGTGCAAACATCATATTGTCTCCTTAGTGTGAGAATCTGAAAGAGAAGAATATGAAAGGTACAATAAATACTGGGAAAAGGATATCAATTCATTAAAATGAAAGAGTTACTGAGTTGAGAAGAAGGACAGGAGAGGGAGTGGGGGAAAGGGATTTATGTATCTATATCTATATCTGTATCTATATCTATATCTATCTATCTATATGCAAGATGGTGGTTTGGACAACTGTACTGTGCATTTGTACTGGACTGTGGAAAGGATCAGATAATAATTTAATTTGTCTCCTTTTTCAACTGATTGTACTTTTTCTCTTCATAATTTCTTACACTTTTCTTTCTTTTTCTTCTTCCAATTTTACATGCATATATCTGGCAATATGAATAACTGCTTGGAAGATAACACTAAGTGTTACAGCAAATACTGTGAAATTTACACTATTCTGTTAAGGGAAATTCTATATCACTTGTGATTCTTTCTGATTTACTTTTAAGTTGTACTCACTTTAAAAAAGAAAAAAAGGGCCAGGGAGAATGCTCAGTAGAATAAGCACTTCCCTGGCAAGCACAAAGGCCTGAGTTCAATCCCCGGTAAAAAAAAAAAAAAAAGCAGTGCCATTCTTCCTCTAAGATTTTTCTGTGTTACTATAAATATTGCTTGAGAGCAAGGAAGGAGGCGCGTGCCCTTTTTTAGAGCTTGAGTATTGCTGCTCCTGTCTACACTGACCACACAATGATAGAGGAAAATGTATTTGTTTAAAATATGCCAGATACATATTTTTTCACCTTTTTTGCAGGCTATTTTTGATCTCTTTTAGTTTATTTTCAAGGTAGACATATTGAACTTTGAAAGTAACCCATTCAATATGTGAGTGTTTCGTTTAGTCATCCAAGAAGTAGAATTGAAGTCTTGCCTTAGTGTTAGGCACCATGTTTATCATTGAAACTAAAGGTCATGAAAGACATAACCTCATGCTTTAGGAGTGCAGGTCTGTAAGGCAAGCAAGAGTTGTCCGTGAATAGCTACAACTTTGGGAGACGCAGCTAGAGAAAGCTAAGGGGGCATGAGGGGTTAACCGTGCTTGAAGGTGCATGATATCAGAGGCAAGTTTCAAGAGCAGGGGACATTTGAGCTAGCTCTGAAGTGTAAGGAAGATTTAATTTTCACAATACATTTACCTGGAGCACATGAAGTAAGGTGCCTGAGGGGGAATTACCAGGGCTTTCTGAATTTTATTAAGTACTTTTAAAAGATAGAGATATTTTCCAATGCTATATTTTGGTTGAAATCAAACAATGAGACATGGGGCCATCTGATAGTTCAGCGGACTAAAGCACCTGCTGAGGCAGAGCACAGCGGCTGGGGTTTGCTCCCCACTGTGCCACGCCAGGGTGCACTGAGATGGCAATTGAGACTGGGCATAGTGGCGTGCCCAGCACTTAGGAGGCTGAAAACAGGAGAATCACTATGAGTCCGATTTATGCAGTGAGACCACATAGGCCCTGTAGACCCTGTCCTAAATACAGAAAAGAAAATAAGACATAACCATCTAAAGGGTACACTTTCTGATGTTTTCCTGTTCTTATTTCATTTGACAGTCAATTCCAACATCAGTACTATTGTTGGATGAAGCTGTGCTAGTTGTGCCCAGCTGCACCTCCTCATGGTGGGTGATCCCCAAGTTAACACTCTTCTTTTTCTTTCTGAAGACGAGAAATAGTTGGAGTGGTGGAACCTGTGCCTCATGATGAGACGTACTGTGACCCTGCATCCCTATTCCACGTTTCTAACGATTACTCATTTATCCGGTAAATGAACATTTTCTTCTCTTTGTTCCACTTGTAAAGTTTTGCACAGCTGTGCTAACAAGGAAGAAATAAGCACAGTGAAGGCATAATTATAACTTTTGTGTCTCCACCTTCTACCACAATTTCAATGTAGATGATCAATTTCAATTCAGTGTGAACCCTTTCTCCATCATGAAGGAATTAATAATACCAGCAGGAGAAACAAAAAAGTATTTTGGTTAGGACCGGAGAGATAGCTCAGTGGCATAAGCACCTGGCTGACAGTGCAAGGTCCTGAGTTTGATTCCCAGCGCTGAAAACAACACAAAAAACCATATTTTATTTGTCATCATGTTACTGCCTTGTTTCACCATGTATTTGATGAGCATTCTTAACTTAAAGTCTAAAAACATACATTCTCTACCTGTTAGTCCAATATGTTGAATTTGTGGGGCCTCAGTTTCTCTACTAGTGAAATGGAAGTAATGTCACCAACCCTCCATATGGGCTGATTGCCATTACTTATAGGAAAGTGGTATAAATCTGTAAAACAATACAAAGGTGAGCCAACATTTAATAGAGTATTGGTATGCCTTGTTTCTCAGCTGGCACATAAAATACAAGTAGATTGTGATGCATCTAGAGAATTCATGATTGGTTCTTTCTGGAGAAAGATCTGGCTAGTGTTTCTTTGTTTACTTGAGCCCCAGAATTTAAATATCTGCCCCAACTTATGAGTCTACCACAGTAACTAACCGTGTGGCTACTTTTTTGTTTCCTTGTGTTTTGTACAGGTATTACACAAGGACCATCTACCAATTCCAGTTTCAGGAAGCCCTTTGTCAAGCAGCTAAACATGTAGGACCCCTGCACAAATGTGACATCTCCAATTCCACTGAAGCTGGACAGAAGTTGCTGTAAGAAATACCTCAAAATGTCGATTTTTTCCTAATACCTAGTATTACTTATTTTCACACCTAATTTCAAATTTGATCTTTTTTGGGGAATCTCAAAATTTTCTCATCCACAAAGCAGATATTTAAGTTGTGGTCAGACAAAAAGCTAGACCATGGGATGGATAGGAAAGGGGGTTGCTCTCTACATGTCATACACCAGAGCTCTGTTGGTAGTAATTAGAATATGAAATTGAAGGATTCATTAATGTCTCCCATTTTCATATCTGCCAGGAGCAAATTTAGTCAAGTCAAGGAAAGTCCACTACAGATCATAAAAATATATATCTGGACTCTCTCAAAGCACCTGCTCCTTTCTTTTTTTCATGTAGCAACATGCTGAGACTTGGAGCATCAGAACCCTGGACCTTAGCTTTGGAAAATGTTGTTGGAGCAAAGAATATGGATGTAAGACCACTGCTTAACTACTTTGAGCCCTTGTTTACTTGGCTGAAAGAACAGAACCGGAACTCTTTTGTAGGGTGGCGCACTGAATGGAGTCCATGTGAGTATGCTGCTCCTACATGTTTTGTATCACTCTCCATCTTCTTTCTCTAGTCTCCTTTGGTCCCCGTCTTAGGGGGCTGTGGCTCGGATGAGTACATGTTCTCTCTATGTCAAACCTGCTCCTGGCTCCACTTCACACTCTTTCAAGTGTTTTATTAGTCTCATGTTTAAAATAAAAGAGCATAACAGTCTCCAGTCCATGACACTTGAATCTTGCTCTTCAAGCGCACATACTACCGTAAGGCAATTATCTTTTCTTTGGGGAGTTACTTTTGTATTACTAAATACTATTTATGTTGCTATTTTGCTATCAGTCAGTTTTAGGCCTACACTTCTGCCTACTCTTCTCTCCTATATCATGATTTTTAGTAGTTATCAGTGTTTGTATCATTCTGCCTGCAGAGTCAGGCAATGTATTATATTGTATGCTATCTTACTTAGTTTTTTTGCCCCAGTGTTTCTACTTGCCTCAATACTTTGGCCATATCCAATTTGCCATCTATTTAGCATTTTTTTTTTGTATTTAGGACAGGGTGTACAGGGTATACAGGGTCTCATGTGTAGATCGGACTCATAGTTATCCTCCTGTGTACAGCCTCCCAAGTACTGGGATTACAGGCACATGCCAGCACATCCAGTCTCAATCGTTGTCTCAGTGTGCCCTCAGGGGCAGGGCTGGCAGGGCAGGCCCAGAGATGGAACTCCGGCCCCTGTGTCTGCCTAAGCAGGTGCTTTAATCCATAAGCTATTTGGTCGGCCCTATTTAGCATTTATTTTTTCCCAATTATTCCAATGTATCTATTCTTTTCAGGCTCATTTTTTCCCTAGAAACTTGGAGTCTTATATCCTCCTGTCCCAATCTAGGTCACCATTTTACTCCTGGGTTTTGTGTTTGTCTTTCTCACGGGCAGAATCCAGTTTGCTGGATTCGAGGTCTTCTTTCTTAGACAATCTCTTGTTCTGCTGAAACATATCTCCAGATGACTGAGCAAGGGCCCATCAGGTGGAGGATCAACTGTTCCCCGGAGAGGCATCCACCGCAGCTTGGTATTCCTTCCCTGTGCTTTCACTGCTGTGGTCTCCTCTCACCCGTACCAATACCTGAATACTAAGCTTCTCTGGGATCCTCTGGTTCTTCTTGGGTCTGTCTGGACTCCTTCAGACCGATGTTTCCTATCCCCTCAGAAACCAGTTACTCCTCTGCTGTCATTTTTTTTTGTTTTCCAAAGGTATTTTATAACTTTGCAAGATTCCTTTAGTATCACTTTAATGGGACCTTGGGAGAGGAAGGAAATAAACACATAAGGTCCATCTGACACTTGAAACCAACAGTCTGTGATTTCTCTCCAATCAGATTCTGAAGAAAGCATCAAAGTGAGGATAAGCCTAAAATCTGCTCTTGGAGATAACGCGGTGAGTACCCTGGAAGGCGCACCATTGTTTCCTAGTCTACGTGCTTCCCTTAAATAGGACACAACATGTCCATTCAAGTGTGATCTGTCTAAAAGAAGAGAGGTCACATGGATCTTTACATATGGTCCATATTCTCAGCATTTGGATTTTTTACTAGTCCATTCATCATTGGTTAGGCAATGCCTATTTTTTTACTTATTACTTGGAAAGGATTATGCAGATCAGCATGAACACATCTGTACCAATCCTTAACTATCAAATTATCCAATTTCACCATGACTTATAGTCAAGAAAAAGGATGTGATAGTTTGAGAGGTTGTTTTTAGAGGCAGAGATCATTTTATTTATTTTAGCAAATCTTCTCTGTACCGTAGCTTTGTTCGGAGTGTGGTCCATGGACCAGCTGCACTTGAATCACTGACTTACAAATCCCTATTAGGGTAAAAAGTGTTTTACAGAAGAATCTTATTACACCTTCATGTGAATTAATTTAATCAGTGATTGTTTGCTATTGATCATCCATCTCAGGTGAGCAAGTCTGAGAAAGTGCAGTAGTAGTTTTGATCAGAAAGGAGAGAGGACAGGTTGCTTCTGGCAGATAGAGATAAGAGGTCTGAGTGGGGTGTGGTAACAGCAATCTTTGCAGGTTTAGAAATCACCCTGGGGCTATCAGATAAAACAGTCCAAGGTGCAACAGAAAATTGGCATCTTGTTGTATAGATCTGAAGACTGTGTTTTACCTCCTTATTTTTCCTGAGAGGTTTAAATATTGGTCAAGACTCAAAAATAATTTTAGTATAATTTTTATAGATTCTATAAATTGGTATAATTTCTGCTAGACAACAAAATATAAATGGCAGAAGAGTAGGAAATGAAAACTTAGGGCCTGGGCTATAGCTCAGTGGCTCAGCACCTGCCTGCAAGTACAAGGTCCTGAGTTCGATACCTGGTACCAAAAAGAAAAAAAGAAAATGAAAACTTAAGAAAGCCACAGATCAAGATCCTTCCCAGAGGCTGGGGAGATAGCCAGGCGATTTAATGCCCTGCCTGGCAAGCTCGAGGTCCCGAGTTCAATCCCCTGTACCTGAACCTGGCGTGGTGGTTCCTGCTTGTAATCCCAGTGCTGTGAAGGCTGAGACGAGAGGAACGCTCTGAGTCTGAACTGTGTAGCAAGATCCTGCGACACATAAATAAAACTTAAAAAGGTAATAATAAAGATCTTTTCCAGTTATCTTTTCCTCCCTGGACATGTGTGCTCTGATTCTCTTTTCCTACAGTGAGGGACTGGTAAATAGTCTTCAGAGAGCTTGATAACGGAACAGTCTAAGGCTGGTTCACTGAGCAACACTACCTTGCTAAGACTAGAACTGGACTTCCTGCATAGATTCTTTAGGGCCAGAATATCTTCAAGTTCAAGCTGTTCATGGTGAATATAGCATTATTTTGAGAACTCAGCTTTTAAAAGTTTTAAAACTTGAAAGTAGTGTAAAATATTATTAGCAACAATACCAATTATTACTATGAGGTAACTTCCTCCTCCCTAAAGCTAAGTAAAACCAAGCTGAGGAGAATGTAACAAATCTTTTGTGAAATCCTGTTATATACTTTTGCTTTGTCTGAAAAGGAAAAAGAAAAAAAAAAAAGAATCATGTGCCATTCATTGATCTCTACTGCCAGCTGCTGGAGGAAAGAGTGATTGCTTTTCCACTTGGAGCTATCTTTCAAAAACTATGCCTTAAAGAAACAAGGCATTTGTCTAGAACTAGAGTGGATTACCATGTTGTTTTTCTTTGAATCTCCAGTTTACTTCTTTTTTATACTTACATATATACATATTTTACTTTCTACTAAAGTAAAATTTTGTTCACACAGTATGGACTTTAAACAATTTTTTTTTTCTCAGTACCAGGGATCGAATCAGGACCTTGTGCTTGCCAGGCAGGAGCTTATGCCGCTGAACTATATCCCCAGCCTGGGATAGACATTTAAAGTAAAACCAACGTTGGGAGATTACTCCCATCTATAAACCTTGCCTCTGGGTGCTTATGCAATTTAGATAAGGCTAAAGTGAAAGGACTAGTGAGCCCAAAGGAATATTAACAGTAATGTTTGAGGAATACCAGATATTAAATATACCTTATGATCCCTGCTGAATAGTGTTTTTCTTCTGAATTTTCAGTACAAATGGAATGCTAATGAAATGTACTTGTTCCGGTCATCTGTTGCATATGCCATGAGAGTGTATTTTTTAGAAGAAAAAGCCCAGATGGTTCCTTTTACGTGAGTTCACCTTCTAGGTTTTCAAGATCTCCAACCAGGAATTCCTTTCCTTTAGAATCTGGGGAAATACTCTGCTTAAGCTTTCTTCAAGTGAAATTAAGAAAAGCCTCCTGACAACCTTTGAACTTCTTTGCCATTCTAGAATTTGGGTCGCTGCATTTAGGGATGGTTGTGGTTTATTTGACTTGCAGGTGGCAAGAACACTGTTGTAATCATCACCTCTCTCTTCTGTAAATGTCTTTGACCACACTGAGCACTGAGAGACAAGGAAACAAGTTTTTGCCTTTATTGAACTTAGATTCTGGTGTGTGTGTGTGTGTGTGTGTGTGTGTGTGTGTGTGTGTGTGGTATAAATGAAATATAGTGGAATTACATCGCAATAACTTCTAGAGAGAAAATATAATAGGAAAGGGGCTGTGAAATGCTGTTGTGTGTGTGTGCGTACACATGTATGTGTGGTATTCAATTTTAACAAAAGTGAACAGAAGGAATCTCACTAATATTTGAGAAGACATATAAAGCAGGATCATTTTGACAGTTATGAGAAAACAATATTTTTTAAAATGTATTTGTTACAAGGTCTACAGGGTCTTACCACACAGATTGGACTTGTAGTGATCCTCCTGTTTTCAGCCTCTCAAACGCTGGGATTACAGGTGTGCACCACCACACCCAGTCTCAATTGTGGTCTCAGTGTGCCCCAGGGGCGGGGCCTGCACAACACTCCTGGGATTGAACCCTGGCTGCTGCACTCTGCCCAAGCAGGTGCTTTAGTCTGCTGAGCTATCTGGCCAGCCCAAGAGCACAATCGTATCACATCATATATTACATTGTACATTACCAGCTACTTAAGAAAATTCTTCAGCCATGGATGAAACACAACACTTTTTGTGGAGTGGGGCCTGTGAGCAAATGTAAAGATATCTTCCCCGTCTGTGTTACTGGGCAATTCTGCCCACGATGTTTGTGTTGATCACCTTCCCATTGCTGGAGTAAAATACCTGACACACAATTTAAAGGAGGAGAGTTTTATTTTGGCCCATGGCTTCAGAGCTTGCAGTCCCTGTTTGGTTGAATTCAGGACAGAAACATCACAGCAGAAGGGTGTGGTAAAGGAAGTACCATCACAAGGCAGCCAGACAGCAAGAGCCAGGAAGAGACCCAGGGACCAGAAGCACCGTTCAAAGCCATGTCCTCCGTGAGGTGTTTCCTCCGACTGGGCCCTCTTTCCCAATAACCCATTCAAGACTATCCTCCTCAGTAATGGGGTTTGCCTCCCACAATCTAATCACCTTCCAGGAGCACCAGCTCTAAACACATGTGACTTTCGGAGGCCATTTTATTTTATTTATTTATTATGATTTTTTTTTTTTTTTGGCGGAACCAGGGATTGAACTCAGGTCCTATCTCCTTGGCTCCTATTTATTTATTTATTTAAATATGTATTTGGTACAGGGTCTCATTACCCAGGTTGTGGTGATCCTCCCGTTTTCAGTCTTGCCAGCGCTGAATTACAGGCGTGTGCCACTACCCCCAGTTTAGTGGCTGGAGCAACGCCCCCTGAGCGGGGCTGGCACATGGTGCCTGGGATTGAACCCAGGTCCTTGCATTCACCTAAGCAAGCGCTTAGTCAGCTGAGCTTTCTCGCTGGTCCTGGAGGCCATTTTAGATGGAAGCCCTGACAAAGCTTATCACAACCTTGGCTCACCAATGATTTCTTGCTGACTATTTTGATCCATTCAGCTGGGAATTTTTTTCCTAGCCTTAAAAAAATGTGATTTTTACATCATAACTGAACAGGTAGTGCCAAAGCTTAATATCAAACTTTTATGTAGTTGATTTCATGTGCGTTAGGCATTGTTATTTATTTTTTTTTTACAATTGTATTCTTTCTTCTTCTTCTTATTTTTTTTTTTTTTTGCGCTGTCTTGTATCTATCCTGTGATCTTCTCCTAATCTTCTTTTTGTCCTCAGGGGAAGTCTTTACTCTCTTTATTGTGCCTTAGGTGCCACAAGGAATGATATTTCTCTTGTTCCTCCACAGGGAGGAGGATGTACGAGTGAGTGACGAGACACCCAGAATCTCCTTCACCTTCTTTGTGACTGCACCTAATAATATATCTGACATTATTCCTAAGAATGAAGTTGAAAATGCTATCAGGTGACATTTTACTTTCAAACGATATAAGGGTGGAGGGTTTATCCAATGCAACAACAATAGTTAATATGTAGTGTGCTTTCTCTGTGTGTCAGGCATTGTGCTGAGTTATTTGCATGTTTTACTTTGTCCCACAAATTTGTTTTAATTCTAGAAGAATCCAATAGCAAGAGAATTATCTCCCTTTGAGTTCTTCCAGTTGTAGGTTTTTAGACAAGAATTTAAATATAAGTAGTTTATTTGAGAGGTACTGGTAGGAAAATGTGGACAGGAATGAGAAGAGAAGGTAGACAATCGATTGTACCTTATCAAGCAAGTTACCACTCCTGCCAAGTAGAGCTGAATCCTGTTGGGCAACCCTGGAGGCTACAGAATGTACACTTGAGTTATTTGAATTGTTTTATAGGATGTTGAAGGAGCTGGCATATTTATTTACCACCTCTCATCAATCTGGCCGGAAACGGCTTCGAGTGACATTCACTCTCCAGCATTTCTGGCCTGCAGGCAGCGCATTTCTTGTGGTATGACAATACTCTCAGGAAAGAAGTAGATGCTGGCTAAAGACATGCACTTAGCATGCATAACAAATGCTGAAGGAGACATGGGCAGGTGTTACCATCATTTGCTATAGGGAGAGTGATAGAGGATTCATTTAATTGCCCAAAGGCTGTAACTGGTTAGGCAACAGGATTCCATGGATGCTGGATGTCCTCTATATTAGGCAAAAGTCTTATTATAGGCAGTGAAGTTTTTAGAAGAAATAATTTGTCTAATTGCATTGGCTTTTTCTTACCATACAGAAGGAATGGAGAGTGGATTGTCTTTGTAGTTGGTGCCCCTTGACATTAAGAAAAAGGCATAGTATATGCACTGCTACGGGGAAGCTCACTAGATGAGCCTCTGGAGCTCAGATAAGCAGTGAGTCCTGTTTATCTTCGAAAGCAGATCGAAGACCACCTGGGAAGGATGTGCCTAGAAAATGTGGCCTGCTTGGGGGGTATGACCCAAGCACACCCACAGATCCACTCACTACTTCCAAAAGACTTGTGTTTTTCTTAGGAAAAAAAATGCTGACTGAGATCATCATGAAAGAGCTTTCCCTTCCTGGACAGGCAGCTGCAAACTCCAAGGAGATCGCAAACTTTCTGTTGCCAGTACAACTTGAGAAATGAACCCCTGAGTTTGTCAGGAGTTACATGTTTAATTCTGCTTTTATTTTGCTTAAATGTCCTGTGTACTGCATTTTGCTTTTGAAAATAGGTTGTCCCGGAGTCGTATCAATGATGTTTTTCGCCTGGATGACGATAGTCTGGAGTTCCTGGGGATTTACCCAACACTTAGCCCTCTTTATGAGCCACCTGTCACCATATGGCTGATTGTTTTTGGAGTTGTGATGGGACTGGTAGTGGTTGGCATTGTCCTCCTAATTTTCACTGGGATCAGAGATCGAAGGAAGTAAGTGTCTTTTCCTAGACATAACTATCTTAAAACAGAAAGATTTAGGGAGTTCAGCTGGAAAATGTGCAATTAATAGTAGGTTATGTAGATCAATTATTTGAACAAGTTTTCACCTAAACGTACTCTGATGCATTCCCTAAAAATTTATCAGATGGTTTCAGCATTTCACCTTCCTAGCAGCCCCACACAGTAGGTATCTAGCCTGGGGTTTATTAGTGCTCTAGTGAACTTCCTCCCAGCCACAGTGTAGTTTCTCTGCTACAGAGAAGCACTGCAAGTTCAGAAGGAGTGGGTGGGCTTGGAGAATTATCCTTGACTCTGAGTGCTCCTTAGTCTAGACGTGACCCTAGAGACTGGGTTGGTGACAGGCTTCAACTGTCAAGTCATTCAAAAATGAGCTCTGAGATTTGCTTTAGAGTGCTGTCCTTTAGTCATCTTTGTTGCTCCATGGGGAGTTCAAACTCCATGTTGTCATAGTTCATGATAAAGTAACCTCTAATTTGTTGTTGAGTTGAAGATTGAGGTTCACTGAAATCTCATTTTCCATTTTGCTTTGCCAGTAGATTATTTTTTGCCTTTGAGAAGGAACTGACCTTTGTTAAGATTATGAAATAGGTTAATAACATTTTATAGCACCTAAAATACTATCCATACTGAAGGTTGTTAAAACATATTCTTGAGTGAGTCTCTGCATATATTAGTCTATTTTACTCAATTTTATCCAGTGTAGACATTTTTAGTTTCCCCAAATAGCTTCTAAAAATTAGACATGAACTAGGGAATATAGTCATATAATTAAATGTTAGTAAAATGCAAAAGGTCACATAGAGTATGTGTCATCATTATCCCCAAGTTTCCTTATTAAAGCCAACCAAATTATCCTTCTTGGAGGTACAGTGGTGTCTTGCTTCATGAAGTTAATTTACTGCATGATTCCAGAAAAGATGGTCCCCTTCATGTTCATGTGAGAAAGTTGACTGTGAGCATGTTCCTAATCCAATGCAGAGTTTACAAAAACACAATTTTGCCAAATGCTTGTGTTTTCTAACCAAATTGTTCACAAACAAAACCATTTGTGAACCAAGGCACCACTTATATGGTTTTATATCTTTTTGTAGTACATGCAAACTATGTGCAGTATTCTACATATTTTTATTTCCCACTTAACATATTTTAGAGATCTTCCCATCTTAGTTGTTCCAAGAGTTTCCCCCTTTTTTCTGGCAATGCAATTTCTCATTTTGTGGATAGACTGCCACTTTGTTAGCCAGTTTTCTATTGTTGGACTTTTCTGTCCTTTCCAAATATTTGTGTCTATAAAAATGGAGCAATGGCGTAAGACAGATAGTTCCCTGTGTTTGCTGATATAGCAACAAGTTAAATCATAGAAGTAGGAAAGCTGTTTCAAAGCTAAGGTGCCCTTCTAATTTTGATAAATATTGCCCTCAGTAGAAGATAAACCAGTGGGTGCTAATAGTACCAATTTATGAAAGCCATTCCCCCAACCCAAAACCAATGTCATCATATATTCTGATCTTTATCAGTCTGGTTAGTGAAAAGTATCCTTCCACCACCACTGTATTAAGGTGACTTTGTTCTACTTAACAGGAAAAAGCAAACCAAAAGAGAAGAAAACCCTTACTCTTCTGTGGACATTGATAAAGGAGAAAATAATACAGGATTCCAAAACAATGAGGATATTCAGACTTCGTTTTAGAAAAATCTTTTTCCTTCTAAGGTGATTTTATTATAAGTAAATGTTTGTTTCATCATATAGAAAATGTACAATTATAAAGATGTCATGAAACGTAAAACTATGGCTATGTTCAGAAAAATTTTGCCAAAGACACTATGACTGAGGAGTGGGCATCTTTAATGATGCTGCTTTCAGTATTTATTTCTGCCTCAGGACTTGGTTTCTCTTCTGTTTCCTCAAGTTTATGTTAGAATGAAAGAGAAAAAGTATTTCTTTGGCCTCCCAGGCTATCTAAACACAAATGTCTATTCAGTAGCTAGAGTTGGAGAGCAAAAAGAATACATTACTATGTCATGGGAGAAAGTGCTGGACCTTGTGTAAAATCCATGCTGGCAAACTGGTGGGGATTGAGGTGGGACCCACTGTTCACTTTTAGTTAATCCAAGTGAGAAGGATGAAGGATGCCATGCATACTTGCAGACTGATTAAAACTAGACTCAATAGATTAATATGTCCAGATTTTACCCATTAAGTCATACTATATTGTAGCCAGAATAATGTTAGAGTGACTTTGCACTTAATAAATTTAATGTGCTAATGGAAATAGTGGATCAATTAGCCAGGTTAGGGGATAATGATTTTCAGAATCCCCTATAAAATAGCCTCAAGATAATCAAGTGAGCCTGGGTCATTTGAGGCTCTTCAGCATCTTTTAATTGATACTGAGGTAGCAATGATCGCATTCTCTGTCTTGGCCTGGGACCCACGCCTCTCCACTGAAGCTTCCTTACTACCAACTGTTTTACCATCTTGATATTCATTGGGCCCATAGCTCAGAGGAACATACAATAGTATTTTCTCCTTATTTGTATATCCCTTTCATTGAAAACAATGCCTAGCTGTAACACAGAAACTAGGAAAACCCGCTCATTTCCCTGACTTAATCTTGTGGGGTTTTCTAACCAGTGCAGTCCTCATTTTGCCTACCAGGTAGGGCTTGTGGTCCTTCACTAGTATAACAACATTCTCTGAGAGGATGGACACTCTCCAAAGAGGGTCCTGTACCCAGGCCATGATGAGAGTTGGCAAACTGTGACCCCTGGGCCAAATCCTGCCCATCACTTGTTTTTGTATGACCTGTGAATTCACACTGATTTTTTGTAATTTTCAATGACTGTGGAAGAAAATAAAATAATATTGTAGGACATATGAAAATGATATGAAATTCAAATTTCAGTACCTATAAATAAAGTTTTATTGGAACTTGATGTAGCCATTTATTTCCATATTGTCTAGGGATGCTTTCCTGCTACAAAGTACAGCTGAGTGGTTGATAGAGCAATGGTACGCTTACAAAGTCTTTCACAGCCTAACTTTGCTGAGCTCTGTGCTATGAGGAAGCAAGGATGAAATGAAACTCGAAATGTGAAAACTCATGTGGTGCCCAGAGCCCTGAGGAACATTTATTTACGGAATCTGAAGCTATTCTCTGAGTGTTTGCTTCCTGAGAATTTAACTATTCTTATGGGGTCTAATTGGCATGGCAAGTAATCAGGCTAGAAAGCACAGACACTGCCTTCTTCCATGAAGTCCTTCAATGAATTATCCTTCTGCAATTGAAATTCACCCCTTCGCCACTTAGGTAAAGATGGGGCCTTCAATCCAACATCTGCCCTCATACACCCATTCCCAGGTCAGAATAAAAACTGAGAGACTACCTTTCCTGAGTCTGTTATGTTGACATCTTTTAATGACTCAAGTTAATGTGATATGGATTTTGCTTCTTTCCTGTTTGACTTTGGGATTCCACTTAGTAAATGTTTTATCTGAAGTTGCTCTCTGATTTGCCTTTTGGGAAAGTTTCTTATCACAGTCTGTATTTCTCTTCATTCCTTAGAAAGTATAAGCAGACTCTTGGTTTAAAATTATAATAATACCCAGGCCTGTTGTGCCGGCCCCACTCCCAGGGCTTGCTGAGACGGTGATTGAGACTGGGTGTGTTGGCGAGCAACTGTAATCCCAGCTCTTGGGAGTCTATAAACAGGTGAATCACTATGAGTCCGATCTAGTAGTGAGACTCTGAACACCCTATAGACCCTTCCCTAAAATACAAAGATAAATAAATAAATAAAATAAAGTTACAATAATAAATGTGCACATCACCATAAAGCACAGTTGAAACACATTTTAAAATTCATTATGAATGTTTTAAAATAATATGAACATTCTTCTTCATTTGCCTCCTCCTGTCATCAGTGGGCTCATTTTCTGATAAGCCTCTCCTAGCACCTTAAATACTTGCTTGACTTAATTGTGGGAGCTAAGCTTCTAAGGAAGGCTTTGGCTTCTTTTCATAGCAAATAATCCTATATTGTTTGAATTTTTGCAAGAAGCATGTATTAATTTTGTTATAAAGCAAATTCTTTTTAAAGATCAAATATACAAAAATAGAATGAAGAAGTCCTGAAGAGGGAGATCGGAAAGAAATGTCAGCAATGTGTGGTACAGGTTTTTGTTGGACAACACCTGAGTGAGTAGAAGGCCTGATGCCCCACCCGATGGTAGGCCCACTGAGAAGGAGAGATTGTGTCACTTGTACCTTCTTCTTCCTTGGGGTGCAAAGAACATGGCACCCAGGAAATACTAAACAGATCAATGGATGAATGTATAAATGCCTTAGTGATTATTTTCAAATTTACAGTTCATTGTACACAAAAGTTTGTGTGCTTCTGTTAAAAGTAGAAGACTATTTTAATTGTCAGAAAACAAATAAGTAAGAGGGAACATTTAAGCTAGCTGATAGGAGAGAGAATGAGTGGGAAGACAAAAGGTCTGGCTGGCTGTCTCTTGGGGGTCGATGATTACTTTTGTCTGAATAATAGCAGCAGGGCTTAAATGGCATGCATGTTGCTGTAATAGTACCCTCTCCCTTCTTGACATGATAGGAGAGACACTGAAATATTCTGAGCTAAAACCTATAGGTCAGCAGCAGGTCATAAAGGAGGGCATTCCTAGGAACAATTTAAAGATAAAATATCTTTAGAACAGCCACAACGAGCTAAAATAGTACTTCTGCATCTTTAAGATAGAAGACTAAAACAGAAACTGCCCTGTCACATGAGCCTGCAGCCCCAGAGCCCCAAACTCAAAATTTAAAATGGCACTGTCTTCAATCATAGAAATAAGACCATGGTTACAATGAGCTGTGGCTGGTAATGACCACGGTGAAGGAGAAAGGAAAAGGCATCAAAATTCTACGTTAGCATACTTTTTTTTTCTTTCTTTCCAAAGTTTTATTGATAAACATATAGCAATGAGACAGTTTCAAATCAAATCGAAAGTACAGTTTCAACAAATAATACACTGCATATATTCTTCTTAG